TCGCACGTCTACCCTCTTGACCACTTTTCATGATTCTGCACATAGTAAACTGAGTTTGGTAGTCGCTACGGCCTCATTGGGCGGACTTTGACGGCCACCAGCAGACTCCGTACATCCAAATCAACACGTCATAGCCGGACTGCAGGCGACCATATCAACACTGGCTTTCTAGAGGATAACACCACAAGGCTTTTAGCTGGCATTCAAATGAGCTCGAGATCTGCCAGCTGCTCTGCAGCAACAAGAGAACCGATGCATCCGACAAAGATTCAGCGATGGTCGGGCTTGACTCGTACAGTAAACGACTGGGACCACGGTTTGCGAAGGGTATGTTGAAGCTCATTGTTGTTGCGCTTGGCTGACAGCTCGAAAAGGACCCCGAACTTTGGTACGAAGATGGAGACTGCTACATTCACCTTCATGCTAGAGGAATGTCACGTCGCGGCCCGTCTTTCTGCATTCCTTTTAGAGTCTTGCGACAAAAAAAGTGCGAGTCGATAATCAATCAGTGTGATGCTCATTTGGTGTCGCTACAGATGTCGACCTCGCAAAAATTGAAGCGGGTGCCTAGTTCACTGATTGATGCCAACAAGCAACCAAGCACTATGGAGCTCTTCATACCTGCACCCGCAGAAGTTGCTCGACAAGACTCTTTCAGATGGCATATTACAACTCGTAACTTCTTCGCATTCTTGCTCGGCAAACCGTTAGTTGGCGACCATATGGGCCAGGCTTATGTGGATCTTCAAGAAAGATTACACCTTTTTCGACCTGATCACCCTAGCAATGTGCAAGACTTTCTATCCTACGCCGAAGATCAGGGCTACCGGGACCTGGTCGAATGCACAGATTATGCTCTTGCAAGTTTGTTCTATGCAGAGCGTTACAAGCTTAGGGATGTTTGGGTTGATGCTTTCGCCCATTGTGTTGGCATGAACGAGAGTTTAGCTCTCAGCCCAGAATTTCCAGTAAGGAGCCAAAGTGTGCTAGCTGAGTACAGCACTAACAACTACACGCAGCCTATCTCAAAACTTACCAAAGCCTTGATTACTCGGGCTCATCGCGAAGTCCATGCTCATCTTGGGCGCGTATCTACTGCGCTCAGCAAGTTCCTGCAAGAAGACTTCTCGCCTACATATCTTGGGCTGACGGACGCTGCTCGAAGCCATCTTGACCGATTCCGCCGTTTCCTGCATACCTTCTATGCCGAAAAATTTGGCTACTGGCCGCCACCTCGAGGCACTATATTCCCCAAGGCTCTTTACAAATCAATGTACTATGACTTCAAGAGCCTATACGACTATCTCGTAGATACAACGTCCACTATCGACATTTCTTCTCAAGGGCCAGCAAGCGGCGGGATTTGTGTTCTGCAGAATGTGCTTACTTTTGACCAACGGCACAACTTCACTTCACTGCCACATCCATTGCCACTACTGCCAACATACGTATCGCCTTCGAAGAAATCAGACTCGCACAGGGCGTTGAGGCAGCTTACTCTTGCTTCTCAACATCAAAAAACACACAAGATCCATACCATGAGTGGTGCGTTGAGGGCTGCAACGAACATTCTGGACCAGCATGTCACAAGTTCGAAGATTGTTCAGGCGTATATGCACTTTGAGAACGCACATACCGTCAACGCCTGCCGGCGTCAGGAGAAATTAACCGTTATGGACGCGCGCAAAGTCCGGTGGCTCCTGATTTATGGTACTCTCCAGTACCTAGTGTCTGCACTTCGGGCTCCAAAGCAGGTCCGCGACTCTGAAAGCTCAGATTATCCCTTATGTTATATTGCAGATCCCACTTCATCAGCCGCAGACTGCACAGATGTGACCCCCTCGCCAGCCCCTTCGCTGAATATTGCCCAAGCCATCGACCAGTACATTTTGGAGTCGCAATGCAGCCCTTTGTCTATTGAACCAGACTGTCAAAGGGAGGATTACTTTACCCCAAGAAACTTGAGTCGGCGAGGGTCTATGGAAGTGTCACCGCTTAGAGTTTCTCGACCTGCGCGTCCATCTTCAGTGCGATCATTGTCACAAATATCACTGTCCTCTCTGAGCTCTAGGCGGAACAGCCTTACGACGCAGTCCACGCGTCTCTGCGTTAACAGTACCAACGTGTTGAACGAGTCAGTGGAAAAATCTCAACCTTCAAATAACGACCCGCTTGTTCTTGTTTGCTCTGACCAATCTACCCCGCCGATCGTCATCAATCGAAGTGGGTCAGAAACATCTTGGTTCAGGTCGCGCACACCTTCTGTTTCGCGCAGTAGGCGAGCCTCAACAAGGAGCTCAGATGGCTTCCCGAGAACCCCATTACTTGACAGCTCACAACTCGACCGTTCTGCAAAGGCGCTATCACTCTTAGGCATAGGAGAGCTCCCTAGCCGGTCGGGCAGCACTAGCTCTACGGGAAGTTCGTTGTGGAGTGAGGGTGTAAGTGCAGCTTCATCCGAGTCAAGTACATGCGACGATAAACACAAGACCAGTGAGGCAGAAGAGAGTGGTCTTCTAGGCGGCTTTGTCTCCATAGTGACCCCAATGGACTCGCGAAGGATTGTGTTACCAACTACACCTCCCGTGTCACAAAGCCACGTACATCCTTCGTTGCGGCAAGAATCTCGGGGAGACGGGTTCCAATTCGAGTTCGATGACATGAAATCAGCAGTAAAGCATGGCCACCATGAGCCTAGTAATTTTCAATCACCCATTGGCATGGCCGTGTCGATGCCTCCATCGTCCAACTCCCAGGTTTCTCTAGGAGTAGAGCCTACACTCACTGATATCGAGGCACATCCTCCAGCCACCGACAAGAGACCGTTCATTCCACGATCCATTTCCATCCTATCCGCTGCAGACAGCACATCTTCTGCATCCAATGACAGCCTGGATACCGTCAAGGCTCCTACAGAAAACTACCGGGAACAGTACAAGGCCACACTTACCCATCAACGAGAACGGTCAAGGTCAGGTACCGGTTTGCGGTCAGAACCTGCCTCTTCTGGAACCTTCAAAATGCCTTTCTCCCGCCTCTCTAAACCTAGTAATGAGGACAACTGTGGTGTGAAGAGTGAGCGAAGATTATCCCATCTATGGCGGCGCTAAGTCCCATTTGTTCGATTTGCTCATAAATTCGGGTTTCTTGCACATTTAGCGACTACCTATGCGGCGTTCGGCATACAAAACTTGTTCCAGCATCTCTGTTCTATACCCTCATCAGCATTAGCATTTTCATCTTTTACGCTTGTACACCAACAGCTAGCAATAATGCACTCGTAAGGAAGGAAAAGCGATCTCTTACCGCCATCTTGCTCTGTGCATCTAGAAAATCTTGAATCTTGAATCTTTGATGTATCTCTAATCGGACCACGATAAACGGAGCAACCACGGAGGCAGCCTAGGCATGAGTTTGCCCGGTTACTAGGTTCATGACAACAATCTCTAGCGTCTTGCGGGGAGTAGGCTGCTGCTAGCTAGATGCTCGCCTATCCTAATGATAGAATGCACTGCGGTAATTTGTGCACAATCACGATCGTCGTTAGGAGAGTCTTCACAGAAGCTGCGCGTAGTTGTATACGCAGTAGCTAAACACACATCTACAAGAGATTTTACAGTCCAAGTGTCTTCGCTAACAGTTTCATAGGCATTACCCTAATCCGACTCATGTGTAGCAACTTCCACAGTATACACAGTAGCGTGTATGCAGGTGGTGGAGACAACCAGGTACAAGTATGATAAGGTTCTTTGTCATGAGGCTTAACTCAGAATATAGTGGCCTCGACGCTGGGTTCGGAGTGTGGCTCGGCATGAACGCGGTGAACTGACAAGGAAGACGCCGAAATTTGAGTCTCCACTGATGGCGTTATCCTGAGCAGACAGGCTAGAACGGCTTGCGGCCACACTGTCGAATCTTTCCCTCAACAAACATGCGATGGCCTTCAGTGATCTGGAGCGCATTTGACTTTTTGCGCCAGCGAATGTGGTATCAAAACTTGAACGCCGGCCCCAGAATTTGAAATACATCGCCTTCCACTAGCAACGTCATCCTGGAGCAACAAAATAGACAAAGTGGCGAGATTGCGACATCGATGAGGCTTGGGCAGATTCATCGCCCCAAACAAATGGATGTAGCGTGCGGCTCAACAGCATTTACCGCTCCAAAGCGGTACCTGTGCAGCCTTGCACTGGCGAGTCATTGTCCCTATCACAACACAACAACGCGGTACTCATGCTCGCTAGTAACAGGCTATGGAAAAACCATTGCGAGCGCCTAAGGTTCGGCCCTTTGCCATTGCATGCAGATGCACGCACAGAACCGTTGTTCCTCGTGTTCGAGTCAAAAACATCTTGGGTTGTCTGTACAAAGAAATCATGTTGGGGATGTGGAACCTACTACTACTATTTGTGCCGAAAATGCGGGAGACATTGTTGGAATTACCTCGCACTAATCCAACATCTGTGACACTGACGAGTACATTTTACGCAACTAATTCCTACTAATTACAGCTGATCAGTTCCCTGTTTTGCATAAAAAGGGCATTTTGCTAGGCAAAAAGCAAGGCGCAAGGCGTAGTGTCCCGCCATTTTGCGCACCCAAGGCCGGGAAACATCCGTCTGGGGATACTAGGCAGGCGGCAACCACCATGCTGTGACTCCATCATATCTCGTATTCCCCACCCACCCCTCGGTATGGAGTGTACAATCTCTGGAGCTCTGATAGACGATCGCGTCGAAGCTTCATGCCCCAAGCGTTGACTTTGTGTCGACTATGTACGTAGGAGCCTAGGGTTGACAATGGAAACAAGATAAATACAACATCCCCCCATCCTCTCAACAGCCCATCTTCATCCACAGACAACCATCCCACTACCTCCTTCCAATCCTCTCCTCCAACCCCAAAACACCGCAACAATGCACTTTCTCACTCTCACCACCCTCCTCGCCACTGCAACCGCCGTCCCAACGCTCTACCAGCGCAGTCCTGTCGGCAACACCGAGCCCATCCTGATTACCGACTACAGCCTGCGCAAGACAAACGGTACAATCCAAAATGTCAACTTCCACATCCACGGCTTCCAAGCCCGCAATGTGTCCTGCGCTGCTGGCCCCATCATCTCGCTTCCCAGCGAGACTGTCACCTGCGGAGCCAGCAACTACAGGTTCGTGCTGTCGCCATTGAACGGCACGGACCCCAACCAGTATGATTTGAGCATTTACCACCAGACCGGTTTTGCGTAAGTTCTTTTCCCTTTTTTTCTGTAAAACTGTTAATGGCGTGACGGTTGATAACTAACGGAAAAAATTAGCTCTGGCAAGTACGCCACTGGCACCGTTCCTACCTACTGTGTTGCTGGCGGTCTCGGATCCCAGGATTTGCAATGCAACCAGATTCGTCAGCTTGGCCCTTACAAGCTTACTCTTCGCTCCTAGGTGGATGCGGGCAGAAATGCCGGGGAGGATGAAGTAAGATGGATATGAATATCGGCAGGCCCTGAAATCTTTTTGTATATAATGAGGGCGTGGAAAGAGATGGGAGACTATGGAGATGGTGAAAGGGGGATGTGAATAATTAACCTTCTTGTATATAGAATCAGAATAGTTTATGGAGTGGTTTGTTGGCTTGGAGCGCTACTATTTTCTACTTGAGGTTGAGTCCAGTGAAGTGAGGTTTTTGACGCAAGTAGAGAAAAGAAGGGAGCACACCAATTGGGAAATAGGTAATTGTACCGGTGTTTCCTCATCTCTATCCTGTATACACAAAAATAATGACAATATCTTTTTGCCATGTAAATACCCACCCTTGCATTAACAGCTCTTGGCTAAGACACATACTCCGGATCAACCTCAATCACCATATCTACTCCAAACGCACTCGGCCTGGGTGCCACAAAATGCGGTATCCGCCAAACCTCCGCATTCCATTTCTCCATCGTCCCCGGTGCAAGTTCCTCCTCGCAATCATAAAGATTAAGACACTATCACATCACAAAACGTCAGTCACTCATCTCCATCCCCACCTCCACCCCCCTCCAAAAATCAAAACCAGAAAAGAGAAGAAAAAAAAAGACCAACATACCTCCAGCGCCCTCATCCCCCCAATAATCCCCAAAACCTCCTCCCTAATAACCCCCCCACACTCCCTCAACTCCACCCTCCTAACCCTCTCCCTCCCACACCAACCCCCCCAAAAAGCCCAAACATCCCCGCCAACCCCACTACACCGCTCCAGCACCACCTCTTCACACCCCCGACTCTCCCCCAGCAACACAGCAATCTGCTTCGTACTCACCACCGCGCCCTCGACCCTCAACCCCAGCAGCCGTCGACTCCAGCTCGGCGTACTCCGCGCGAGTACATCCCACGCGCGGCGCTGCTCCTCGCGCTCGAGGCCAATCTGCGCGCGCAACACGGCGCGCCCGGGGTTTCCGGCGTCGAATCTGAGCTCGAGGCGCTGGAGCGCGGATAAGTTGCGGAGCGCGTGTGCCATGCGCACGCTCATGGTCCAGATGGTGAGATCGACGTGTGAGAGGAGGGGGTGGTGCCGGGTTAGGATGCTGGTTAGGAGTGCGGATTGGAAGTTGGAGAGGGTGGTGTAGTCGTAGGTTGTTATGTTTGGGATGCGGAGCCAGCGGTCGTGGGGGCGGGTGGTGGGTTGGGAGGTATGTGTTTGCGAAGGGGAAAGGGGTGGTTTTGAGGGGGGGAAGGAAGTGTAAGGGGAGGGGAGGGGGGAGATGCCTAAGGAGAGGGATTGCAGGTTTGCGTTTGCGAGGGTGCGGGCTGGATGGCAGGTTTCTGAGAAGTGGAGGAGGGAGGAGAGGGGGAGGGAGGTGAGAATTTGGCTGAGGAGTTCGGCGGGGAGGGAGAGGATGTGGGGGGTCATTTTTTTTCTTTCTTTTCTTTTCTTTCTTTCTTGGAGGGTTGGATGGTGGGAGGATGGGGAGTGGGTGAAGGGGGAAGAAATGAGAGGATAGTCTTGCTCTCTGGACTAGGGTTGGATGGTGAGATGGTATGACAAGAGATGGGTAGATGTCTAGTAGGGAGTTCCGAGACATTTGTAGTAGGTCCTCCAGAACAGAATGTGCTGTAGTTACCTCGACCAAAAGAGACCATATGTGAGGCCTCTTTTCAGCCCTCTCTCCGCGGAATCCCCCACCGCACTCGTCCTCCCCCTCTTCTTCATCCTGCACAAATCATCTTACAGACGCTTATCCTACCATCGTCTCTAGCCTCCAGTCCTTACTCTTCAACAAACCCCGACATGGACGCTGTGGCGCTCGCCAGTGCTGTGGGGGTGGGCTTTTTCTACGTGAGGCGTTTTACCCTAACCTGCGTCGCATGATGTTGTGTAAGACGGGCCCCCAAAAAACCGAGGTGCGTCAGACGAGGCGAGGACAGCGTGCCCGAGAAAAGACAAAGGGATATCCTATTTCTCACAGGGTCAGCGTGTGTCCGTGTTGAATCCGGATTCTGTACGAAGGATCTTTGTGTAACTCTAAGAGACGCGATCGCAAAAGATGCATGGGAATATGGGGTTCGCACGCATTCCAGGCGACGTGCTTTCGTTTCGAAGCGCTCGGCGTGATAGTGATAAGGTTCGAGCTGCTGTCAAGCGGCACAGCACATTAAGGCAGCCCCGTCATCTTCCTTCGGGAAATGGGCATTACTGTGTAAGGCATCCATCATGTCATGTGCGCTCGTGTGGATGTGAGATACATTACGATCACGTACTAGGTTGGTTGGGGATGGCCAAGCAGCACAGCCTCGGGATCTGGGCATGGCAGATGATGAGCACCGGGGCCACGGGTACGTATTGCAGTGGGTCGCTTGTGCATTCGCTACGCGGTGCATGCGTATATGCACGAGAAGCAGTACTGGATCTTATGATCATCTCGCGTAACACAAAGACAAGGATGCATGGAGAAGATTGTACATTCGCTTTTGGTCCTCTACATTGGGGCGAGATTGTCATCGCTATTGTATTCGAAGGCTTACCTTGGCATGTATCCAAGCCATGTGTTGCGAGTGAATAATGAGGCGTGTTGGTGTAACTCGAGATCAAACTCTGTCAGGGCTTGAGATCACTATCAAGCCTCTCCACCAGCACCCCTCTCAAATACCCTCACACTACCATCGCCTTTAACCTGGTACAGGAACTCTTTTCCTCGCCCGTTGTCATCACCTTCCTTGGGCTCGTTTTCGTTGAGCTCCAAGTCTAGCCACTCATGTTTCTGTTCGGTGATCCGTATGACACCGCTCACGTCTCTTGCAACTCCAGTGTCCAGGATTCTCACACCCAGTATCCTCCTGCTCATGTGAGCAAACTTGACCAGCAGGTTGTGATGCGCAAGCTCAAGTGGTTGGGGTGGTGCGGAGAGACTGAGAAGGGGACTATCGGATTGTATGTGTGTGAGAACATGTGATACAGTCGGTAGTGTGCGGAGAGTCAGAGCAAGCGAAGTGAATTCCGAGGGTGTGATGGAGGGGTTGAGGGCAAGGAGGAGATCTGGATTATCGAAGATGAGGAGTGTCTTTCGCTGCACCACCGAGGAGTTGAGTGCAGAGACGGCACTGGAAATGGTGGTTTTGATTTCTGAAAGGTCAAGTGTCTTGAATGCGTAGTGGCCCGGGGTACTGCTACCTGCGTCGGCCGCCTCTGGTGTTGTAGGAATCGTGGCTGATGTAGGCACTGCCGCTGCTGCTACAGGTGGTCCTCTTGCAGGCACTACTCCTCCAGGAGGACCTCGTACAGGTAATGTCTGCGGCCCTCTCTGCATCTGAATCCTATTCAGCCCCGCGAACTGTGGTTTTGCCTGTCCATTGGCCCGCGCGTCTATTCCGGACATGCTACCGCCAGGCGCATCTGCACCAGCCCCCAACCCATCAACGAAGGCAAATCTTCCCTCTTTCCTGAGTCTCTCCAAATCTAGACCTGCGCTCTTTCTAGATTCTTGTTTCCAGAACTCATACTGTCTCATCCAAGAAACCAGCACTACATTGTGTCCCTCATCCCCGCCATCTTGGGCTTTGGCTGTGCTCAGCGCATCGCACAGGAATCGTAGTAGCAGCCAGTTCGCGCTGGCTCCGAGAGTGCTCGTGAGCAGGATAAGCGAACCCTCACGAGGGAGTTGAATGTAAGGTTGGAGAAGAGGTGGTATGCGACTCGACGGTGGCATTGCGACACAAGGCTGGAACAAAATTGTGAGACGCAAGAAGCCGCACAGAAGCGATGCACATGCGCCTGTTGCTGACTGAGACTGGGACTTTGAGGCTTTAACGCTCTGTTGATTTACCGCCGTCAGTCGTGTTGCGTATCGGGAGCGTGCGAGTCATCAGTTGGCATTCCGAGTAGTTCGCCGTCACATTTTCTTTGATAGAGCACAGCCGTCATGTGTCTATCGCCTAGTCCAAATGTTGACTTGGAGCCCACAACCCTTGTGTCGGTAGTTGAGAGAATTAAGATTGCGCAGGTGTTTGCCTGCAGCTAGCCAGCCGCATCATTATCGCCTTACTGGGCGTCGTAGTTTAGAGTATGATCGAGTTGGCAGGTAGAGCCCGTCACGTGATTATGACGTATTCCCATCGACTAGTGAGAAGCCGGAAACAGAATCTGCCTGCACCAATGCTATGCAGCTCGTCTGATACGCACCCGACCACCCACAGCACATTGGGTATGCCCCAGACCAGCCTGTGACGGAGAGGTGTGATGAGACAGCACAGCATACGTGACAGGGCACCACTCGAGCGCTGCTGTGGCCGAGCGAGCGTGTTGCTGGATGGAGCGTCGTCGCAGATGCGCAATTCGCTTTTCCAGGCACCCTCCTGTATACGTACGTCCAACTTTGCCTCGTCTGCTTTTGCAGCAATACAAATACATACATATGCATAGGCCGGAATTGCGGCACTTTCGGTTGGATAAACACATTCCATAGCCATTGATTGTCTTGGTTCTGCTTGCCATCATCCAATCACATGCAGGTATATAGGACCCCAAATCAATTGCAGCATGCAAAGTGATTTGCCAAGAAGGAACACCTCAAAATGCGGTACTAATGGGGCGAGGTGATCATCAGTGGAATTTTTGTTACCTTCCTAATGTGTTATCCAAACAATCGCCATTGGATGAATTATGTATGGAAGATGATCATATAAGACGCATGACTAACCATCATTTACTTGCTAGTTTCCCCCATATGACAACCAGCTCTTCCAGGGACCACAGTGGCACACCCGTCTTCGAGTAGTCAGGCAGTAATCAAGCTCCGAGTATGCAAGACGACCTCGAACATGTTAGTGTCGCTAGCGAGCCAACACAAAACAACAACAGCAATAGAAACTCTGTGCTAGCAGTGGCATCTGTAACGCATGTCTCAGGCGATGACAAACGTCCGGATAATTCATTGCACCAAGAGGTCCTTGTCGAAGAAAGCAAAGCTAGAGCCGAGCCAGGAGAGACTCACGCTTTTCTCTCCAACAACCCTTCCGAAACCAGAACTGTAAGACACTTTGTTGTGAAAAGCAAAAACAACAACACATCAGTTCTCGCGACATGGTTGTTTGAACTAGTCTCTTTAGTAGCCGCCATAGCGGCCTTGATGGCTATTGTGATTACTATGGCAAAGTATAACGATAGAGAGCAGCCTGAGTGGAGATACTCAATCAATCTTAACACGATCATCGCCGTTTTGGCTACCGTGCTGCGGTCATGTATGGTGGTCGTAGCAGAAGAAGGTAAGAGGCTCATCGAACTTTGATTCAACTAAGGATCTGACACTGTACCAGTCATTGGTCAATTGAAGTGGTTGTTGTTTCGGCGGCCACAGCCTCTCTGGAATCTTGAGCATCTTGATACAGCTGCTCGAGGGCCCTGGGGCTCGCTGCTGCTCTTCTTTCGAACAAGATCTCTGTACGTATATCTCTACGGTGGCAGGACGGAGGATTGAATGTTGCATGAACTAACATAAATTGTATGTAGTGATGCGGCGTTTGTAGGATGCATGGTCATCATACTATCAGTCGGCATCGGACCTTTCTCGCAACAAGCTGTCAAGTCTGTATCATGTGAGAGACCTCTAGCGGGAGCAGAAGCATCCATCAGGGTTGCCCAGTGGATGGCCCCCACGAACACAAGTCGAGTCAGAGAGTACAGCTTTAAAACGGACTTGGACATGGACACCAAGGTTGCCATCTTGGATGGACTTGTGAATCCCAACACGACTCGGTCTGATATCATACCGAGCTGCAGTACTGGCAACTGTACGTTTCCTTCACGCAACCGTGTCACACATTCTTCGGTCGGGCTGTGCAGGAAATGCGTGGATATATCTGATCGGTTAGCGGAGGTAGATCTGCAAGACCAAGACCAGTGGATCCGGTTACCAGACGGTAATGGCATTAGTGGAACCCTAAATGGAAGCCTTCCGCAAATTGCCCTATCCGTTCTTGCGGGTAGCAGTATGCATAGAGACTGGTTATCGGCTCCTCTAAACGGAACTATGTTGAACAAGTTCGAATTCTCATCAGACGAAATATTTGCAGCATCAATACTTAACGTCAGCATTGTCACCTTTACGAATCACGGCTGCGAGCTCTTGGGACCAGAAGATGGCTCAAAATTTCAGCGGTGTCCAGGAGCCGATGCAAACTGGACACTTCCAATCATGAGCTACCTAAATGCCGTGGCGGTAACATGCTCATTCTACTCCTGTGTGCGCGACTATGCCGGAACTGTCCGCGACACCATCTTCACCGAGAAAGTCATAAACGAAACTCCAATAAAACCAGTCAGAATCACTAAAAATAGCCAGACTTACGACTTCAAGGACCTGCACAACCCCTGTATCATCGACGGCCAAACATACACACGCGACAACATATCCTCGGTACCAATCCAAGGCAACAACTTTGCCTCCTACTTCATAGACGGCGTCAACACAACCTTTCCAATAGCCTGCATCTATGGCCTCAATAGCGACTACGCACAAAGTCTCGGGCATTTCATCGAATCCATCATGAACGGAAACTGCTCCACCGTTCCAAAATTTGTTCCCGAATTTTACAAATACGAGTACAAATCCCTGAGGTGCGGCCCCTGGCAGCTCGAGGCCCTGGTCAACAAGGGCCTCGCCAGCTTCGACTCCATCAATCGCAACATGCAATCCGTCGCAACGGCTGCTACGAGCGATATGCGTAGAAAGGGGTCTTACTACGACGACCCTCAGTATAAACTTAATCCGTCTTACATTACCCCGCCTATATTCGTTACAGGAACGGTTATGCGCACGACAAGTTGCACAAAGTTCGATTGGGTGTGGTTGAGTTTCCCGCTTGCGTTGATCGTCTTAACAACATTTCTCTTATGCGTTGCGTGCGGTAAGATGATGTTTGATAAACGAAGAGTTCCGGTGTGGAAGTCGTCGATTTTGCCCTTGTTGCTGGCGGGCCATCGGCTGAGAGATGTGGCTGCTGCGGAGGACATGGATGCGATCAAGGCGAGTACGGAGCGACTGGTCGTGAGCCTTGTGCAGGATGAGAGAGGATGGGAGTTTGCGATTGAGGATTTCAAGGATGAGAAGACTAGGGAGGAATAGGTTTTTTTTTGGAAAGCTGCATGGCGCGCTAAGTCTGTAATAGTATATACACATACAAGAATATTAGTATTAAATTTTAGATTCTAATTTTGTGAAAACATACATCGAGCTCGATGACGTATCTTCTAGCAACTCGCTATAACCTACCATGGTTAGCCTTATCCTCGTATGCCATATCTTAGGACAATGTTGGGGGTTTGAATTTTCATATTTTATTATATGTTTATCGATATTTATCTACAATCAGCTTCGCGCCAATGATCTTGTGCAGCCCGCATCCACCAAATACTCATGAGTATCGGACGATGGCTACTATTCTCCCCATAGCTTTTCCAAATCATAGAAAACTTTCATAAGGGACCTTCGATACAGGACCAATCGCTCTCAGGTATTCTTGTAATTATATTTAGAATCAGAAACTCAGATCATCGGCCCATCAATGCCAGCACTATCAGTCCTCATCCTAGACGCTTACCCACTCGCTCTAGGTCTCCGTTGCAACCGTCTTTTGCTGTTCCTCTTCCGGACACACGTAAGACTCGATGACAGGTGGACAGCATGCCGGCAGTAAGTCAAAGAACGATGGAGTCGTATTTCGTACCGGGGTCTAAGCACCAATATTATCGTTGGCGATATTCGGGCTCTTTGACATCTCAGGTGTTGGGACCGGGTCGCTCGCTTGAGGTGCTGCCAGGCTGAAATCCAAGCCGATTAAATCCTCCAAATCCAGTACTTCTCCGTAATGCGTGGTACCTGCTGCTGTCTCAACAGCCCCGATTTCAGCACCTGATTTAGCTGGGCGAACGTGCTTGGTTTGGCGAGGCTGGCTGCTGGTCCTATTCGGCTGGTGACTAGTCCTACCACCGGTAGCAATCTTTCCGAGCTCGCTCGGGAAAAGCCATGGGAAGGAAATCAGCGGCATATGCTCCGGGTCCTTGATGCGGAGAGGTACGGTACGGCCTCCGACAGTTTTGGTTTTGGTACACTCATCCAGAGCATTCTCCATCTCGTGTGCTGTGACTGTATACATGGCAGCAACAAAAGGTCCTAGTCGTGCCCAGTCGTTGTTATCACTCAGCTCAGCGGCATTGCTACACTCACTACGGAATTGATGCTTCAAGGCCGCAATAGTTCTACCGAATTCTTCTGCAAATTTGTAGTCGCCGCTTTCGTGGTTGTGCACCAGTACGAAGACAGACCATGCTTCGAACTCGGTTTTAATACCGTGTTTAGCCATCAGTCGTCGGAGTGCTTCGTCGTATGAGAGCTTGAGACTCGCCGCCTTGTCCAATAGCTCTTGATCAAGGTCGAACGCCTCCAGGATGCGCTTATCAAAC